ACAAAATAACCTCTCATTTTGTTACTGTAAAACCAACTTTGTCCCTTAAAGGGCAAATCAGGGGTAGTAATATAGCTAGGTGGGAGGTCCCAGTATGCCTGTATTCACCCTTTTTGGATGAAAAATTAAAGAAACATGATACGTCTTTCAACTGAATGGTGGAAGTTTTTCCTTAGTTGATTGTACCCAATGTTTCCTTTAAACCTATTTTTAGCAGCAGAACTTGAGGTCTCAGAGTATTAGAGTAGACTACTTTATGTTTTGAAGGACAGGAGCGTACTTTCAAGTTGGAAGAGGACTTATTAGAAACAATGTCTCACCAAACAAGGAGGCTGCATACAGAAACATTTTGAATACTACTGGTAAAATGGTGGTCATCAGCTTCTAGACCAAATTAGTTGGGTAGCTAACTCAAAGCTTGTAATTTAACACAAGATAAAATTTGTCATTCTCCTTTAAGTAGTTCTCAGCACTAATTGAGAACCCTTAAGAAAATCATTTGACAGGCATTATTCCAGAAGAAAAACTCCAGAGGTTACATTGAGCGACAGTATTTACTACCTTATTTAACAGGGGTTAAAAACAACATTTTTGTTTACAAATCACTATTTTACATTGAAAGGCGATGAATGATGTTGTCAGTGGGCCTCTCATATGTATGGAAGCACATGGGAGGAGGGCAAGAAGGAATGGGGGGGAGGAGTATTTTCTTGTACCCAGAACGTTTAATGAAATGGTGGAATCCATTTCAACCACTTTAATAGATAATGACATTGGTGAATACTTTTGAAATTAAGAATTTATTTGTCTTCTTGCAACAACCTAACAGTCGAACAGAGGGTGGCCATTGGTAAGTATGGAGCTTCTCAACTGGATAACTTGAAATAGCTAGCACACTGAGCCTCACAACTTGTCTGTAAAATAAAATGAATGCCTCGGCTCTGATGGGCAACAGAGATATAAAGGGATAAAAAGTCCATACTAGAGAATTCTAAAAATATCTGTCAGCTTGGTTGAAAAAATGGATACCTTTTCGGTCTTGCTATAACTTATGAAATCACCTGATGAGTTATGTTGATGAGTTATGTTATGTAGATTTATGTGCTAAACCTTTTCCCTGAAGGGATATCTGGCAGACCCTTGTTAAATTAAAAATAAATAGCTCAATTTTTCTTTCAAAAAATAAGCATTTCTGATACTATTTTGAAGCAATGATACTGTTTAGAAGCCGATCATCCCCCCACGTTTGAAGTTACTAACAGTTCTATCCCCCAGGACATGCCTAATACCCCCCATTGAGGGTACCAGTGTCTGGAGTACAATAACAGCAACATAAACAGTAAAATATTATTTTATCGGTGAAATAGAATACATATTAATCTGAAACTTTCATATAAATCACAGTTTGAGTGGAAAAACTTCTGTCAAGGAATTATCAGATTTAATTACACAAATGACAACAAATCAGACTATTGATGCTGGGTGATCTAAAAAAAATTTTTGTTTTTGAGTCACTGTTGAAGATACCACACCAAAATATCCAAATAAAATATGAAAACAGGGCTCCCATTTGACTAAACAATAAAGCTGTAATTATAATTTATTTAAATCTCCACTTCATGGTTAAATCTATTTAAAACTTTGCCTTGTATCAAAGTTAAAATATATCAAGACGGTTCCAACTGTACAAAACACTTTAACTTTGAATTTGAACAACCAACACAACAAATGAGATGGGTTTAACCAAAATACCTGGATTTGTTCAGATGGACCTACACTGTCCAACACTTCTAACGCAAAACTGACAGATCCAATAGCTGACAAAAGCTACTGCACTTATGCAACTCGACAAATTTGTCAATGGCATGGCTATTGAGGTTACCTGCACAAAAAAGCTTTCCCTCATTGTCCGACTCAACTTGCGAACTTGCAACCTCTGGGTCAAACAAACGCACCCCACAGCCTTGAATATCCACCACCATTATTTCCTTCTTTGACTTCTCATAGCTATAGTGTGCCAAACATTCTGCCTTTTCCGTAAGGTTCTTGTTCTTTCCACATATTGTTCCATCATTATTGATGTACTTGTCAAACGTGCCACTAACAAATTCTTCGACGGTAACGTACTCATCCCTATTTCTAATATATCCAAGCATAACTTTGTTGTAAGACAATCAAGGTATCTCCAAACAAAATTAAATTGTCTTCATTCTCAAGATCAGTGTGTAACTGGGCTGCAAAGTTTCTAGCTAAATAGTGCAGTTGAACTGATTTCTTTGTGTGTTGTTCTGGAGTCTGTCCAAGAGTTCTCATATCTTTCAAAGACTTGTCGAGGTAGCGCTTCGCAACCAGGTAGTGTACGAGAAGGGAGGTCAGGTTTTCCATGGACAGAACCCGGTCACAGAACACATTTTCACAAATTAAGGAACTAGAAAGGGAAAACAATTGCATCATGATATTTGGTTCAGTAAATCAGTGATTCATAGAATTGATATTAACAATAGGAAAGAGACGATAAGGGTAGGGATCAAATCACAAAGATCTGTAAATGTTTAGTACTTGTATACGATGGTAGGCAGTCAAGAGGAAAATTGTATCTTAAATGTTGGGCTTCTCATAAGAGTCGGGTAATTTTGAAAGATACTCCTTAATTTTTTAACCAACTTTTATTAAATTGCTCCAAATTCAAGATGGCATTTTTCCGGAAAAATAAATTTATGGGCGTGATTCCTCAAATTTCTGTCATTCATCGTTCATCAAGTTAAATCAAGTGTCAAAAAATTTTTCAATCTTTATAAGGCAAGAATTCATACGGCTGGGTTATTTGCTCTCGTAACCTTTTATCCTAGGAGAGATTTTACTTGAAATTTTACTAATTGGGAAGTCAAATGCTAGTTGCTTTCCTTTTTTATTTGCTGGCAATTTTGACTTTTTTTTAAAAACATTTTCCTGATATTTCACTCTGAAATTTGTATCCTACCCATAAAATCTCAACCATAGAAATTTTCCAATTATGGTTTATCATAGCGTCTAGGATATGAAGGATATCGGAGTGTTATAGAGTGAGTTATGATAATTCCCACATGGAAACCTGGACCTAAGTGAGTTTTTAGGTTCTTACCTTTATTTCATTCAATAGGAATGTTACCCAAGCCCAAGTAAAATAAATAACTAGGTTTAAGGTTACCTAATAGTTCCAGGGTCGTCGGTAAGATTTCAAGTTGCAGGGTAAATACCACAAGTAGGTGGGGAATCAAACGGCTAGGGATTTCTTTTGATTCTATTTTTCTTCTATTTTCCCATGAAA